TGCACCAGGGAGGGTAAAACTGTTTTTTTTTCGTTTTGTTAAATGTCAATATTTAGAAATAAATAAAAACTGTTTCCAAATTTGATCAAAATATGTTCATAAACAAGGAAACTACGACAGTTTACTTATCCTCCATAAGAATAACACTTTTGTTTTTAGGGTAAAAAATGGGAAAACTCTATTTTCACCCCATAAAACCCCATTCCCATAGTACGATCATGCTGGTTCGCGAACTCGTTCAAATAAATATAGGTTTACATGTTTATACCAAAGTTCATTGAAATCGGAGCATTTTTGATCGAGTTATCGCGCTAACAGACATATTATATATGAATTTGAACAGATGGTGTTTTGGGCCTCTGGGGACCTCAAAACAAAAAATATATCGGTCTCGGGTCCAGGTCTTACCATGAGACCTACGGTAATGGCTTATTCCCTATATGGGAAATTCGTTAAAAGATTTTAGGATTAAAAGATTAAATATCCTTTGTGTTGGTAGGTCTATGGTAACACTTTTAATTGCGTTGCACAATAAAAAGCCAATTAATTATTTATATAAAATAGTATCTTGACCGCTAGTAACGTAGGTTCAGTCGGGTATTTGAGGACTCTCTGAGGCGTTGCCCTCTAACCTTTCAAAAATCGTTTTAAAAACATTTTATCCTCGGGGTTGAGCCGTATACCTCATTAGTTTATCTGTTTGGACATTTCTGAAGATTTTTTTTATCCGAGCTGTCGAAATACGATACATAAAGTGTTTAAGGTCCTTACAAACCTTTAAACTTTCCTAAACAACAGTTTACGTCGAATACTGTAAATTATTTTCTCATCCTATTGTAAAAACTGAAGCTGGTATACAGGTCTATTTGAGGTCCGGTAACGCTTTGGAGCGCTGGTGTTGACCACACTTCCCCTTAACTACATATAGGTCGGCATATTTGTGTTTCACAAATTTTTGAATTTTGTAAGATAACAAAACATGAATAGAATATATTCACACACCTTGCAGTATCGCAAATAAGACTTAAAATTTGTCTTCAAAGAGTTATAAGGAAGCATAACATGCATGCTTGCATTTAGGTAAGTAAGTCACCAGCCTGGGGTATCTGTGTACAGTGTTGAAATGTTGACTGGCGTTATCACTGATAAGAGCAAAAGCTGTTGTGATAACGTTCAATACTACCTTGAAAATGAGTTCATCCTTTCCTAGAAATATACATGTTTGGAAATAGGCGTGTTTTCATGTCCATAAAAACGTTTAGAATATCAATATTTTGCTAAGGTAATTTTTGGTTATTGGTTAGAGAAAATAAAACATCTGACTTCTAAAATTAAAATGCAATTAGTACCAAGAAACATACTGTATACATTATTTCAAAAGACACTGGATAAATTTACACGCATTTTGCCATATTTCAAATTGAATATTTTTGTATTTAAAGGCAAAATGATCTCTTTATCTATTCGTTGTACGAAGTTGTAAAAAATATATTAAATTACCAAAACAAACTATGAATAGAGTATATAATTGAGTTTGTATGAATAATCCTTTAAATGTGTTATGTGGCCTCAGAATAATGGTTGTAGAAATTGAATTGACATTAATTATTGGCTTGTCGTGTTTTGATTGCACAATTATTTCAACATGTACGTATTAATATTTTTGTGTTATACATTTGGCTTATTAATTAACTCTATTATATTTTTAACTGTTTGAAGAATAATGATACATAGGTAATCAATAAGCATCTTATATACGGAAAATTAGCAAAACCTCACAAAAATAACAAATTAGATTCTCACTAACCGTTGTTTTGTTGGTACACCATCATTTTTTACCTCCTATGTGTAAACTTCGCCTCACAAATTGCGTCTTTCAACTCAAATACTAACGAATTCAATATCACAAACCCGTTGGAATCTCAATTAGGCCTTAACCGACGTCAATTGGCGAACCTTTGTCCAAATTGTAATTTCGTAGGATTTGTGTTGCTATCGAAACCGTCGTAGTGGTTTGCCTTTTTAAATTTGATTGTGAAATAATTTACTGACTCACTTTTTAACTGTGGGTTTGTCACTGTCAACATCCTAAATAGTAGGCTAACTTTTTTACTTCAGTTAAAAGCTTTTGTTTAAAAGATTATCACGTGAACATTTTTTAATATTGTGTTTTTATAAAAGTTTTTGTTGTTTGTGTGTTATTAAGTATTATTAGTGGTATAAATCCAATAGACTGATGGTTTTATGATGGTACAAAATGGTTGAGACTGAGTCAAAAGTACTGACGTTTTTGACCACTTGAGAACCATTGGCTTTGATTTGTACAGTGAATGATCCTAATTACCAGTGCGTAGGAGCGTATATTGGTTACATTTGTTAACCCAAGTTAAACCTGTTTAGAATGTGCGAGACCGCGGGTTCAAATCCTGCCAATCACTAATGTTGATTTCCTATGTGATAACGAAGGCTCCGCCCGTGTACGTGTGGCGGATGCGTTTGTTAAACCAAGTTTGAATTGTTTACCATAACCACGTCGCCCAGGTGGAAGGAAGCCATTCAAGTAGTTTAGGTTTAGACATGTGTCGGGTGAAGCTGTTTATGCGGAGTTTGTTCACCCCAACGACCTCGGCCAATTATGAACTAGTGTCGCGGAAAACCGCACGTGGCTACTGTAGTAGTAGTAGTAGTAGTTGTAGTAAAAGTATGTATACCATCTACTGTACTACTGTAGGGTATGTAGACTGCTCGTCCTATAGCTTTGAGGCTGGTCATGGCATGTGTTGCAGGTTACGCTTAAGGATTCCCTCTTACAGCATAAGGTTAATAAGTTAGGATTGAACTAGTTAACTTCAGGCTTTGATGGTACCAGGCCTCTACGGAGTTAATCCCTAAGATGGAGTTTTGCACACAAAACGTTGGTCCATTTTTTGTTGATTCAAAGGTATAGTCATCTTTCCGTAGACCAAGATAAATTTCTCAAAAAAAATTTCAAAATTTAATATTTTTGTTAGAACTTTAACTGTTGTGCAACACAACCTTACAACACTTAAATCAAACTCTGCCAATCTGTGACTTCATTGTAGTAAATGAAGGTAAACTTTGAAAATGTTTTTTGAATCTCGAATTGAAATATCGAATTTCTAAGAAAGAAAACTGCTTGATCTAACTAACGACGTAAACAATTCGCAGAATAAACTGCAAAAATCGTGCTCCACATGTTGCAGTAGTTCATTGTATGCAAACATTGTATGACTAATGTGTTTAGACGACGGACGTGCCTACATTGGTGTGTCCAGATATACTTGTTAGAGTTGCGACGCTAGGCAGATTTACATTGTAAATGTTCCCGTCCGGTCCCGGGTCCCGGCCATCTCAAGGCAAACTGCGTTGTTTGTCTGACAATTACTTTTATGGCCAGTCGAGTACTGGTTTTTATTACATTGTTGATGTAGATTTTTGTTGAGCGAAAATGTTGGATAGATCTTAAGCTCTGGGTATATTTCACCAATGACATACAAACAAAAGATCCTCTCACCTGTAGGGAGTAAATTTGTGTTCTGCAGACTGATTTTTACGCGAAAAAAGAATTTTTGTTCCTCAACCTAAGGTTTTATTCCAAAAACACGTTCCTATTTTCGCGTAAAAATAAAATTTCAGAACACAAATTTACTTCATATTTCTACCAAATCTTTACTAAAGGTTTTAGAGGGGTTGTAGGGATTCAATCTTCGACTATTGACGACTTCAGTATCCAATTACTGTATATCTGATTCTATCGAGTGAAAAACTATCGAATCAGAGAAATTCATCTTAAATTATTTGGTTGGTTCAATTACGGAAAGGGAGTTTTAAAATATTACTACCCGCACAGTTTATTCGAATGTCTAGACTCATAAGCATTCTGGTTTTTTGATATCATAGTAACAGTAACCAAAATGTACGTTTGTACATTGAACCTATTGACATTTTGAAACTCTGTAGCAGAGTTTTTCAGAAGCCTAAAGAGATATTAGAAATGTTCAAACCTCACAATTGCAATTCATTATTCAACATTATCACTGTACCTATCCTGTTATCGCACTCTGGGATCATCGTTTAGTCGTGTCCCGGCTACCGGTATTTGTTTGTTTACATCTGCAGAGAGGCGTGATTCGTGATTGGTCAAGGCCAGCCGTACTAGCGGTGGGTGTGAGCAACTGGTTGGGCCGGATAGGCTACGCAGTGGACGAGCCCCTCATTGCCAAGGTCGTCAAATGCTGCCAACTTTATAGACAATACTGTCCCTACACTACAATGCCGGGAAATATTGTGACTTGTTTTGAAAGATTTAATTTACAAATTTTCGAGAAACTTGATAACGCCGCAGCGAACTTGCAGACAAAAAAATTTCCATTTGCCTGATCAGATTTCCACTAAAATATTTCCTCAAAGGTGTCAGATTTTTTCTCCATTTAGCATTGAGTGCATTTAAATATCATTAGTTTTAATTAGTACTTAGCTTTGCTGCTACACGGAATGTCATAAACTGTTTTTCTTATCTAAATCATGTTAATGTTATTCCCCATTTAAATGAGGTATAGTGTTTTTACCCTATGGGTACATAAAATAAAAAAAGTAAAGTAGTCCGATGTTTAGGTTTTACCATGAGACCTACAGTAGGCTAATGTGTAACTTATTCTTTAAATATGGGAAATTTGCTAAAGCATTGAGTGTCAACTTAAATCGTGGATACACAGCAATATGTTTACTAAATTATGTGCCACAGTACAAAACCAAAGAACTCATCGGGTGAAAAACAGCACAATGTTTGTGGCTCACATAAACTACGTCCATTTTTAATTAAAAAATGGCGACAACTTTAACATGGGGATTGAATGTCTAGTTGTATCAATATTCAAAGCTGAAAGTCAATTCTACTCTCCGTGGTAAAGATTCAGCCTAATCAAGACAGAACTCAAGGTATTTCTTTCAAACTTAGCTAATATCATATGTTTTTCCAGGAACGTGGAGCATCTCCCATTCGAGACATTTACACTTTGGCTCGACGTCGAGTGGAGGAAGTGCTTTGAGCGCAGCCAGTAGCTCCAGTGGTCGAGACCCCGGAGAAAGACGCAAGTCTGGGGACGACATCCTCGCCGGCGTTACATCTCCGCGCAAGACCACTCCGACTGTCTTTGACGTGTTCAGGCCACGCAGTAAGAGCGACGCGAGTCGTGCCAAGAAACCTACCACGCTCATTGCTCAGATGAAAAATGCTGTGCAGGTTTGTTGAAGTTGATTGGGTGTTAAGCGCCTTATTGCCTATTAGCACAGAAAACATACTACTATAACCCAGAATGCCAACCGCATGGTAAAAAGCGTTAAGTACTTTGAGAGAGCTTTGCCTGTCAGTTCGTAGGCAGCGCCACCAGTGTTGCAATGCATTGACATGACAGAAAACCTACCAGTTTTACAGAGGCAGTTTATAGCTAAAAGGACAGACATGTCACATATTTTTTAAGCCAACTATAAAGCATTTATTACAAATATATCAAAAGATTCATTATTAATTCTAATTTATAACTCCAATTAAAATGTTTTCAACAGTATGAAATTCAAATTGAATGATTAAAAGAATTATAAAACGCAACAAATAACACAAATGAAAAACCTTAGAGTAAAAGATAAAATTGCAATGACAAAACAAAAACATACTTCTACTTCACAATTAATTGTTAAAATACAGTTTCATACTGTTAAAAATAAACCCATCTGTATCTCTAAAGGCAATCACCAGAAACAGTGCCATAAACATGTTGAGTAGATAGTGAGAGAAGTAGGCCAATATTTATAGACTGCAGACATAACGACCCTATATTCATCTTGTCTCTACATTGCCTTGGAATAGCATAAAGTGTTTCTCTTGATATACCACCTTATAAATCTTGATATCATGATATTTTAATTTGCTGTTTAAGAATTTTTTCTCTCAATGCAACTGGAGTTTTGTTATCGGAATCGATCAATGCTTTTAAGAGAAAAAGTGGTGCCAAACCATAAATTTTCTTGGATGTTCCGGGGAGCAAACTCATCCCTATCTCAACTAAGTCCAAGATGTTAAACACTATAGTCTGTATGATGGAACCTGTATCCTGATTGGGCAATGCCCTGGTGGATGTAGGGCCAGGAGACAGGTTCCATCAAACGGAGTTACGAGTTTGGACATAAGCACACTTAAAGTAACTAGACATAAAAAACAAATCAAAATATTGTTAAGTTTTTACAATATGATTTGATGAGAAGTCCACTTGCGCTATCCAAAATCAATGAGAGGATGAACAGTTATTGATACATTGGTTTTGTAATACATTAAAAACAAATTCCAAAGAGGTTGAAGTCAGTGTTTTAATTTTCAGTTCAAAACTAATTGATTCTTATGTGACTTAGGTTATCTGTAAATCATCAAAAATAATTACTTGTTCCTCTGATTTTGTTCTAATACTTAATGAGGGGACCTTGAAATAATCTAATAATAATGTTAAAAATGTAGGTAGAATTCAATACGCATTTTATGGCATGTTTCCAATGCTAGTAAGTACAATAATATAATCAAATTTGAAAAAAAAATCACAGGGAAATGTTATTTTGGTACTGAACTGATAAGAACGTACAAAAATAAGGTTAAGAAACATTGTTTACCAGTCTTACTTAATTTATGGATCAGTTTAAAATAACACACTGTTGTTGTTTTCCCTATTTTTAACAAATTCTAAAACAGTTAACATTCTTATAATTACTGATAACCTTGTTTTTTCTGGTAAACAAGTTGATGCAGATTATCTATACAAATTTCACTTTTATTATCATTTCCAGTTGAGTTGCTTTGGGTATTGTGCTACTAGTGTAGTGTAGTGTGGTTCAATTCTTGCCAATGAAATATTTGAAACATAAATGGTTGAAAAGGATAACAGATGATGAGGTATGATTTTTTTCATTGATTCTTAATAATTAATCAAAGCATCTACAATAGACTCCCTCTTATCCGGACACCTTTTAACCGGACTACACTCAGTGGAAATGACATCTTTTTAACCGGACAATTTTTATCAGCACATCGGTTTAACCGGACAATCGGCAGGAAGTGGTTGGTACTGAAACGACTGTTCACTTGGGAAAGATTTGAGACCAGTGATCACGTGTATAAATACAATGCTCTCCTAAATTTAAGTAAAATATTTGGGTTACATGACAAGTTTTTTGGGACATTAGGTTAACCGGAAAACCCGTTATTCGGACTGGACTCGGTCCTGAGGAGTCCGGGTAAGAGTCTACTGTAGTAAAACCATCTATGAAGCTTTTAAAATTGTCCTTACAGGGATTTATAGGAAATTCTGTGGTATTGCTAAGTATGTGATAAATTTATAGTCCACAAACATTGACTTAGTACAAAGCTAGGTGTGAAATTGTTTTTTTTTCACCATGTGTACATTTGATTTTTCCAAGATTACAATTGTTTTAAATTGAAGTAGGTTTATCATTATCATCATTATTATGAATTCAGCACAGTTAATAGGTCAAAGTGACAAAGAACACTTTTTAAAAGTTGTTAAATTTTTAACAGTAACGGATTGAGTTCTGATTCCAGAGTTATTGCTACAAGCCATGTATTGCAGTTCAATCAAAGTAGTTATTTTCAGTGTTGCAGTAGTAAAATGTCCAGTTAGGGAATGCTCACCATAATATAGGATTATTAGAAAAAGCAGTGTTCCCATGCGTTCCCGCTCCACTACACAACTGGTGATTTTTAAAAGTACATACTTGAGTCAAACTTAATTCTGCGGTACACAATGACTAGGCAACATATAGACACCCAATAACTAAGTAAATTTACTGATATTCTTTAATAATGTTCAAACTAAGATGTCTAGTTATTCTGTCTCTAACTCAATGTTTTTTTTTCAGAATTCTCTGATGTCGCCGGGGTCGGGATCGCGCAGTGCGAGCAACAGTGGCTCGGCTTCGAGCACGGAGGGTAACGCGAGTGCGGCCGGTAGTACCGATGCCGTTGGTGCGAGACCTCGCGCGGGCAGTGACAGTGGTTCGTCGCGCGGTCCTGTGTCCAAAGTGATGGATTTGTTTAGACATCGATCTCACAGTGCAGTGTCTGCCGAGGAGAAGAGGAAAGCGGTAAGTTTTGTCTTTGAATTTTGTTATTTTATGAATTTTATAGTTTTTGTATGACAAACTTCTCAAATTGAACGAATGGACTGAATGAAAAAGGATCACATCGTTGTTAATTTTAGCTTTTAATTAAATATTTCACATCATTGTTAGCCTCGTTCCCACAACGCGAGGTGGGACGATTCCATGGATGAATTTGAGCAACTGCTCGTATCAATACGCCTTGTGGGAATAGATCGTCCGTGGTCCCTGTAGCAGTCCGTAGTGGTTTGTTTAGGTCCGGATCGTTCCCGCCCAAAGCCGGTAAACTTATGAAACATAAAAGGACTGTGGCTCATGTTCAGTGTAGGGTGGGGGGGGGGGAGGTACACCCGTCACAGTCCATCGGCGGGTCTTAAAATGTACGATCCAACACTAGTCATGGGAACAGTAGGTCCGCAAATTTTCGCATATTTACTGATCATGGACATCCGTGGTATTGTCCTAACTTGTGTCGTGGGAACGAGGCTTAACAAGGTGGATCATTAGCTATTCAGTTACGAGACAAACAGCTGTAAGGAATAATACTTGATCAAATCGATATCCAGCGTGACAATCAAGATTTGTAGACTTGTAGGAAAATGATCATCTGGCATGATTGCAGCTTGATCACTTAAATTGTTACGAGCGATTCACTTTATTCAGGGTAAAAGTTTAGATATTCAAAACATATATAAATTCTACTTAATTAGGAGATGTGTCAACATAACGTAAGTAGATTGCTAGCCAACTGGTACTTGTCCCTTGCCGCGTGGATCCCTACTTCACTTATTTACAGACTAATGCATAATTTATATCCATAGTAAGGATATTATCAATAGTTGCTTTGGGAATGCAAGAGTTTCAAACTCGCCGCTTAATTGAGAGAAAATGACTAGTATTGATAGGAACAGGACGAGATGTTGATTGATTGATTGATTCTGTAGGGGCGGGCCTTGTCTTGTTGCACGTCAGCCACTGATGGGCTTTTTGCGCTTCCCACATGGTGCTTCAGAGTCCGTCAAACCTGAGTTGCTTAATGAACTTCAGCATCTTGTCTATGAGCTCCTCCTGAGGAAGGTGTCTGCCCCTTGTCATTGCACCAATAGTATTGTCCCTTACCTCATTCAGAGCTGTGCAGTCATAGGTGATCAGCAGCCTCCGCTGATTGCACGCATTTCCTACACGCAGTGTCTCCTTTGTGGATCGTCAAGCTATGCAGGTGCAATTTCAGGAAGCCATGGCCAGTGACCATTCCTGTGATCTGTATAAGCTGCCTCCTGTCTAAACGTATAGCATTGGAGGGGACCATCTGGGAAGGGGAGAAGAGGGTGAGCTTACTTACCCTGTGGTGCTGAAGCCTAACCCATATTTTCCTATGTTCCTCTTGAGCCCATGACATGACTGAGTGACATGCATGCCCACGAGAGATTCCACAGAAAGACTGTGGTCCACGGAGTCTGTGGCTGACGTGACATTTGCTGGCCTGTCAGCCACCTTGTTGCGCCTGCCCAGGTCGCATACTGCAGAGAGGCAGTCCCAGACCACCTTGGAATTGAATTCGTAAGAGTCAAGCGCTTTAAGCGCAGCCTGGCTGTCTGTAAAAATGGAAATGTTGATGTCCCTGAAGCCTAGCCTCTGGTTTTCCCTAGCACATTCCATTATCACAGTCATTTAGGCCTGGAACACACGAGATGTTCTGGAGGCAAGGTGATCCAGCGTCAACCTACTCTGAATTAAGAAGTCTAGAACCAGCCTGCCCAAACGCTGAATGCTGATGGAGAACGGTCGCTTAAGCACTATGTCTCTGGTGATATTCGTACCAGGTTGAGAGGGTCAAAGCAAAGTGATATGTTTAGTTGTAAGAAATCATCATCCCAACTATGACCGCATCATCTTTCCAGGGTACATTGTAAACTGTGTAACATAACTACCCAAAAAGGTCTTTTAGAGTTGATATAGTTAGGCAAAGTAATCTGTAATAATATTTGAAGGCACATTCTTCCTTATAAACTTCATGTTTAATTTCCATTGTAGTACGCTTGGCTGTTTTGTTTGAGGAAAGATGCCCTTAAATTCATTAAGGTTTTAAGGTTCCCTGTTAAGTCTCCTTCACCTTCAAGAATAATGGACATTACATCTTGGTTACCAGGGTAAAAAATCCAGATGAAACTTCCCATGTCCTATGTGGTTATATCTTGAGTGGTAGTTCTGCTGATGTAAAATGTATACACAATCAAAGGAGAGCGGGAGAGGGATTGTAGCGGTGAGAAAGTTACGGAGAGCCAACTGTTGTTACTGCATGATATTACCAAAACTTTCGACTGGTCCAAAAGCTCCCAACTCAATATGAGTTCTTCCTCTGCGTATAATTTCTCAAACTTACAGTTGTCCAGTAATCAATGGTTCGAGGCCAAGCAAGTCATATGAATAATAACAGGATGACAAGAAGGAGCAAATATGGGATTTTCTTAAAACCAACCCATCAAGCACGGCAAGTAATGGCAAGTACTGAAAAATGTGTTAAGTATGGGTAAAACTACTAGCAAATGTCCATACAGTGTTTCATTTGCCTACTGTACACTTACGTTATTCAGAAAAGCTAAGACTTCTCTTTTGATCAATCCATCATCACCTCCAGGATTGATTATTGACCATATAAATAGATTTACATACCTTATGTCATTAATCCTACTTTAGTCTTGGGTGACTAGTTTCTGAACAACAGTTTCATTGTAGAAACTCTTGATTCATAAAATCATTTGAACACATTGTCGTCTTCAATACACAAAAATACAATAACACTCAAAAACACAAATACAATTTATTAACACGTTCAGTGTGGCATACCTTCAAACAGGCGCTCGCCAATGGCGGCGAAGCCCCAGCGCGCCACCCAAATGGTGAACACAATTGGCATTCAAATATTTCAGTATGACGAATCAAAAAATAGCAGCGGTGATTGTGCTGTGTTACCCCAAGAGTGGACGTAGTTCACTGAAACACCCGAATGTAGCAACACTGCCTGGATCCGTAGCCAATGTCTTTATGGCTCAAAGAGAGAAAATCCCCGGATCCGGGACATAAGCATTGCCAGACGGGATTTTACAGGTAATTTTAGTACCAACCTACACCAGAATAGAGCTTTCATTCTAAGCTATAGGCTGACAACAATTACAAAGTTCCCCGGCAATGGCTGAGCTCACATTGAAGCAAGGTTGTTGGCATTGACGAAGGACGACATTTCCTGCCCCGCACCATCAGTTCCGGTACCGCGGGGCGAGAATTTCTGCCCCTCGCACTGAACGTGTTAACATGTATTTGTGGCCGGCCATAACATGTGTGATGACGGACACAATGCAAAACACTGTGTTCTTTTGGTCAACAAAGTTATCATGAAGATTATTTGGTTATCCAAACAAAGATCATTTTTAGTTGTTTACTTTCTTGTCAATGAAACATTGGTATTAAGATGTTAAGTTGTCTTTGTTAAGCTCAAGATAACCACCAGTAACCATACTAGTTTGTTTGTGTAAATTTATTCTGCTACATGTTTAGGTTGTAGCACACTTGGCAAGGTTTTTCCTCCTGCGTCTCCAGAGCGGCACTAGCATATTTGACAACTCTTGCGGAAGCGTGATGCGGCACGCCGATAAAAAAAGACTTCCACTTTGAATTCACCGTGGCAAATTCGAGAAGCTTTTAACTGCACTCAACACTCTTTCCTGTCTCTGTGAGTGTTGCCAGGTGTGCTTATTCCCATAAGATAAAATTCGATAAATGTTTTGCTGGATTATTGTAAGTTCTTCCATTGCAACGCAACATGTTTTGCTTCTGTGAGAGTTGCCAAGTGTGTTACCAGCTTCAAATCTAAATTGAGAGTTTTGTTCCTTTTGAGGACTACTTTCTGATTTCATTATTTTTTAACTCTCAGGTTGATTATTCTTAGAGTTCTATAAAGACTGTAGTTATGTAGTATCTTTTTTATTTCAGATGCTTTGGAATGTTAAACGCGATAGACATCAAAGGAGACTGGTACTTCTGTATGTATGTATTGAGTATTTGACGGGATTTTCGGGTGGAAATCATTTTCATTTAAAGTTCAAATTGTGTTTCAAGGTTTCAATGCTTGATGACTCCATGCTTGAGCGGAGGGGATAATTCACCTACATATCAATGTGTTCATGATAGTTCATACTGCATAATCTTTGTATCTTCATTATAAATTGTGTGGATTTGAATGGCCTGACGCTTTATATCGCATTCTGAAGGGAAGATCATCTTTTTTAATTGTTTTAGACAAGGTAGGTTTTTGAATACTTGAGTTATATGTAGCAGCTGTTGAAGAAGCCATATTTGATTTAATCTGTTCTTAAGCTTTACCCCCTGACTTGCAGACCTATCTGCAGAAGCAGTTTCAGCCAACTCTCTACGTAGTCTCTTGTATCTGGGATGTCTCTAGATTGTCTGTGTGTCTTCAAGAGGCATGCTACAATATTTTACAGTTCCAAACAAGGATTATAACAGTGCAATCTGTTGTTGGCCCACATCAACTAAGACAAATTTGATCAAAAACCTGGCAACAACTTTAACCTGGGGATTGAATGTCTAGTTGTATTAATAGTCAAGGATAGTAGTTAAAGTTAAAGCAAACAAAATTGTAGACCTAAGACTTTGATTTTTTACTGTTACTTAACATTGGAGATCTGTTTAGGGTAACAGTGTAATGATTTATTTTTCATCAAAAAAATGATGATGATGATAGAATCTCTAATTTCTAAAACCTGCATCATATTTTTAAACTGTTGTAACCCACAAACTAAACTATTCTGCTTGTACAGTTGCGTCACTTAGTTTTGATAGAGCTGTGAGTTGGTTGGTGGGGCACAGAGAAGTAAGGTACAGAAAACATATGCTTATGAGACGACTGTGCGCTTTTAGCTGTAGTATGTTGTGCTCAAAATATACTTTAGGCGAGCAAAGAAGAG